CGGACACATGACAGGACAGCGGCCAACGCAAGTACGGGGGGGGGGGGTGGGGGAGGGGAAGGGGTGCTCTGTACGCACTTCAGTGTAATCTACGATAACTAAAAAATTACCCCAAGGCATCAGTGTGGCCTAGAACGATACGCTGACAGATCAGTGTAACACCAACTCATAAAAAAATTACCCCAGCACATCAGTGTAGACCAGGGGTTTTTTTATCAGAGTAAATTACTCTGTTTCTCTGAAAATCAGAGTGGTTTTTAGGGGGTCACTCTGACGTGTCTGGGTAATTTTTTTGGAGGATAAGTTTTCTCTGATTTGTCAGGGTTCTGAATTTAGCTTCTCTGAGAGACCAGTGTATATTTTTGGCGGATGTACTTTTCTCTGTACAGGGTATAGGCATTTCGACCAACCCGCCCCACCCCCCCCAATTGTTGGAAGATGGGTAGAGTTAGTGAAATTATAAAATTGAGAAAGCTTGCTTTCTTTCTTATCAATTGGCATCGTTCTCATTACAAATGGCGTGTTACAACATTTGCATCATCGTTCGACATAAGCTAGTGCGGACTAATAACACTAGCTATTATGTACCCTATCCAAGTGGCATTAGCAAGGCGGTTTACACTGGGGTGGGTGGTGGGAATGTTGAGTGAGCCGTTTGAAAATTGAGAAACGTGGGTGGAGGGAAATGAGCTCCAACCCACGGTTTTTGTAGTTGGAGAAGGGCGTTTAGCGCGCTTCGACGGTGCCAATTGTGCAGTACAAGCAGCTTCGCTTTCACAATACACAATTTTTAAAAACACTACATGTGTGTTTAAAAATTGTAATATCGCGATTCTAAAAGTTGGTGAGCGCGTAGCCAACGGTTAGTTCTTTTGGTAGGAGTGCAGAAGGCCTGGGTTCAATACTTGAGAGGACACTCAGAGATGGAAGGTACACTAGGTGCCCAGAGTATATTTTTCAGAAGTGAAGTTTTCTCTGACAAATCAGAGTAACGCTCATGATGAGCCCTGAATTTCAGAGTTCTCTAGAAAACAGCTCTGGAAATCCGAGTAGTGAAAATCCAAAAAAAAGCCCTGGTGTAGACCCAAAATTTCACCCTTGTAATCAGTGTAGAAGGGTAAATTACACTGCAAACCTGAGCCCTGGCTAGGAGTACTACTTGGTCTTCAAGATATGTGAGAGGAGATCGGGGCAACCTAGTGAGCGATGGTCGGATCTGTTGTGCGACTGGGCTCAGAAACCAATCAGGTTCGACCGTCGCAAGAGTTTTCCCCTGCCTCGCGAGTTGTGTTTCAAACCAAAGAGGGTACGGTAACCCTGTTTTTGGCGACTTCAAGTTCAAGAATCTTGAACTTGAAATTACCCATGCTGTACCCGATCAGAAATCTGGTTAACCAATTTGCACAGACAATAGCAGCACAGGCATTGGCTTTAGCTTTCACCAGCAACAGCAACATAAGGTGTTATACTTGGTAGAACAAAAAACACCATTCTTTTATATTTAATACAACACCCATCTATGCAGCTATCGTTGCTATTCTTGCTGCTGCTGCTTCTGCTTCTGTTGCTGATAGCGCTTCAGCCGCTGCTGCTGATCCTGCTACTATGCCATCTACAGGTACGCTGCTGTGCTGGTGGAGGTTAAGGAAAGAGCAGAGTCTAGTCGAAGAGTGAGAAGCCCATGTCGTCGTCACTCTCCTCCTTCTCCTCCTCCTTCTCCTCCTTCTTGGCCTCCTCAGCAGGAGCAGCACCGCCACCGCTGGCAGCAGCACCGGCAGCAGCAGCCATCACAAGGCCACCACCCACCTTCACCTGGAAGCACACAGCGCAAGTTGATCAAGTCAGCAAACCTTAAGGTCACTTTTCAGAGTCCTCAAAAGCGCCAACACCGCACTATGCCACAATTTGCCACACTCTGCCATGGCGCAATACTCCAGGAGAGCCACCTTTCTATCAATCCACGTGAAATGAGTGTATCTTTGAGACGTCTTAAAAATACACTCTGGCGCAACACTTCAGGAGAGCGACCTTTCTATCAATCCACTCCAACCCATCCCGCGGCGTATCTCGAAGCCACGACAGAAAGGGGGTGGTGCAGGAGGGGGAAAGCATGCCTGACGTGCCACCTGCGTGACATGGCATGGAGTGGCGAGACAGGGCATGGAGTGGCATGGCACGGCAGCATGCTGCTATGTAGGAGACTTGGGAACGGGTCGGGTGCGGGGCACGACTAGGTCGGGTGGCGTGGGGTGGTATGGGGTGGTGTGGGGTGGGTGGGGTTTGCTTGGGATCCCAACCCTCACGTGTAAACTAGTAAGACTCTGCATCCCTAAGGCAAGTACAGTAGCCCCGGGCCCCGGCTCTCGTGTGCAGCCGTCAGAAATAACACCCTTCACTGCCCCTTGAATCAAATCAATCTCGGGTTCCGTATTCACATTGACTTCAGGAATATTTTTTTCCCGGCGACGCAAAGGCGAGATTTGAAACGACTTATAACCCCACAGACGCCAACGAAGCGGTTATAATCATACCCCTGAGACCGATACACCCTTCAGTGCCCCTCCAATCAGTCTCTAGAGTGCGACTCCTCTAACCTCGTATCCGCTGCAAGACGATTTCTCTACGGCGATCGTGATCTGCTTACAACGTACCTCGTAAACGCCAGCGTTAGGCGCGGTGTAGGCGAAGGAGGTTACACCGCCGTCCAACAAGTTCTCAACGGCGAAACGCACGAGCTTAAACCGGGCACATGTTATAGCGGGTACTAACCTCGTAAACGCCAGCGTTGGGCGTGGTGTAGGAGAAGAAGGAGGTGACGCCGCCGCCAGACGAGTTCTCAATAGCGAGCGACACGAGCTTCCGGCCGAGCGAGTAAAGGTCCGACCCCTCTGCGGTGAGGTCCTTGTTGTCCTCCTCCTTCGCCGCGTACTGCGGAATCATGGCGGGATAACGGGAAAACAACGGATAACGGGGGAATACGAGCAGGGTAACGGGGGAAAGGAGACGGAGGATGCGACTCTTGAGACGTCTCTAAATTCCCCTCCGCAATCAGGGTTCTTTGACTCCTCCGTCGCCGCGTACAGCGGAACCACGGCGGAAACGGAGACAGGGGATGCGGACCTGCGGGAAACGCCGTTGGATGTGGAAAAACGGGGATCACGGGGATCAGGCGGAGAGAACGCGGATTATCAGGCCGCGAAGCTAGTTGAGGGAATTAGGGTTTCCAGTACCAGATCGAATGATGCGACGAGAGAATGGAGGGGATACACCCGAGAAAAAATCACTACAATGTGAGTTATCCACGACACTAAGACTAGCGAAGTCACTACGAGACTTTGATTAAAATATCGAAGAATACAGCTTCTTGTTGACGGGGACTCTGGCGAAACTTGTATGAGAGGCGCAAGTAGCGGGAACTGACCCATAAAAAAAGGGAACCGGCTACGTCTAGCGAAATAACATGTAGATGTGCCCGGACTCGGGATTCGATACGAGCTGCTTCGCCTACCTGCTTAGCGGACCAGCTGCCGCCGTCCTGTTTGCAGATGAACATAAAGACACCCATGGCGATGGCTCACGCGACGTCCGAAGAAACTAACGACGTCTTTAAGTCCGAGCTACAGGAGCTCTATTAGTGAGGAGCGCAAGGTAAGCTGGTGGTAGGCAGAGAAAGGAGGAGAGGAGGAACAACGGCGGCTTTGAGGGCGAGCGGAGGGGAAAGGGGGAGAGGAGGGGGAAACAGGGGAGAGAGTGGGAAAGGGTGAAGGGGAAAAGGGGAAGGGGGAGTGCAGGGTCGAAAGGGAAATGGGGAAGGGGGAAGGGAATGGGGGAGGAGGGGATCTGCGGGTGCATCGTTGTGGCGGGGAAGTGCGCGCTTCTTGAGGTGCGGGGGAGTCCATTCCCTGTTACGGGGGTTTTACCATTGCATTGGTGCTTGAGGAGGTTTTGCGAGACATTCATCTAGGGGTTACCAGATTCGTGATAAGCTTTTTTAGTTTCTGCGTTACGTTTCTCACATGGGAATGGAAACCTTACACAAGCGCTGCACATATTTATGAATGGGGTTGTATCGTAAAACTGCACTTTACGGCGGTTTGATGTGATGCTTTGCTTTTTAGTGCAGTAAAAAACGTCAGCACGGTTTGAGTTGAAGCTGACACTCTCAGTCAGACCCTACAGTCACATTTGGTCTTTCTTACCCTCAATCACTCTCTGCTGTCTGGACGACCCATGTGGACCGCATCAGAGCAGCTGCTTCTTGGTGCATCACCTGTGAATCCATGAGATATGAATTCATGCATCCGTGATTTGGCGATTCTGTCGATTGGCGAATTCGAACATGGTGAAGGTTTTGAATAAGGCAGCCATCGCTGAGCTTCGTGTAGCTTCCGCTGTCTAGCTTCCGTACTTAGGACAACTTTAGGCTGGACTCTGTTGCCATCAATTGAAGCGTGGTTGGGTTCCGCGTGGTCTGTGTTGCTGTATAAGGTCGTCCCGTCAGATCGAACGGCTCGCAGCGTAGCTATGATACCGTAATCAAGCCAATCGTTTTGTCGTAATCCAGCAGCCATGTACAGAACGCCGCTTGCTTCCACAGTAGTAGCCTGGGTGGGTGCCTACTTCTTCCTTGTCTTGCTCACCATCTCTCTCGCATCCGGCCTCTACTACATTGCAGAGATTATCGAAGACCATCCTAGAACTTCCAAGAAGCTGCTTAGCATCTACATCAAAGCCACGCTCGCGGTCCACGTCATCGTCTTGATACTCGACCGTCCATCAATCCTCTGCATTCTTACTGGCATCGCAACGCACGTCGTCTATTATCTGATCCTCCGCCGCTTCCCTTATGTCAGCCTCGGGTCTCCCGAGTTCATCGGTTCATGTGTGGGGTTCGTCTGCAGCAACTTCGGTTGGTTCCAGTATTACTTCTTCCGCACGAATCTCTCAATCGAGTTCTTTCTCGGGTTCATGATTCCCATGGTGTGGCTCGTTCCCTTCGTCTACTTCGTCTCGCTCTCCACGGAAGAGACACTCTTGCCGTACGCTACAAGCCACCACTTGTCATCAGCAGCAGAAGAGGTGCTGGGTCGGACTCCTTCAGGATGCAGCCAAGTTAGCAGCAGCAGAGGGGTGCCTGGTGCTGGAAAGAAGATTAAGAGTTCGTTTTTGTGGCTCTATCACTTCATACGGCAGAAGAGGGATGATGTTTTGCCAGAGTTTAGTCTGGAAAGAGGGACGAGTGGGAGGAGTGCTGGTAAGGCATTGTGAACGTAGAAGGTGCTGCGAATTGTAGGAGCCCTTATTTCTGGCACTAACAATCTGGCATGCATTCCTTTATTAGAGTTGCATGTGAGCTGTTTTATTGTCAGTGCTCCCAAAGGTAACCTTATGTGTTATTCTTTGTTTCTTTGACAGATGCCGCTTGGCATGAAAAGAATGGTAGACAGATAAGAGATTATTTACTGCTCACAATCAACTCCAAGACCATACAACACACCGGCATATTTCTCAGCAGACCCATTGAAAAAACCCTGCCTTAGCTTCCTGAAAGCTGCTGACGTCAACAAACTGTCCGACCCTGCTTGATGCTGAGGACCAATCCGCTCCACCTCTAGGGTTTCCGCCAAACGATTCAGACCGCCATGGAGATTATCACAGAACTTCATGAGGTACTTAATGTCGTAGATGGTAGGAAAGTATGTGCGGAGGAGGTTGAAGAAATCTGCTTCGTTGCTCGGAAGGTTCTGACACGTCAGCACCTTAAGAAGGTACCCGAAATCGTAGCCGCTGTGGAACGTTATCCAGTTCACGTTCTCGTTGAGGACAACGCCTGACGGAATCATAAGCTCCCCGAAACGGAACGAATCAATCCCCCTCTCCTGGTTCATACTGAAATCGATGCCGCTCTGCTTCAGAAGCTCGATCGAGTCCTGCGCGTAAATGTCCTCCGTAAGATTAAACTCCCGGAAATTAAATTGCCAAACGCAGTACTCGTTCTGCCCGAAATGAGGAAGCATACCATCCTCGTTAGTGAACGTCAACCCTAACTGAATAAGCTTTAGCATGTCCACGTTCACGCGCAAGGTCTGGTAATGGTACTCCGCGCTGCTGCGAAACGTCCCGACCGGCCTGACAACAACCCCTGGGAACTCCGTATCCATGGCCACATAGGGATACTCATCCACAATCTCGCGAATCATCTCAAACTCCTCCTCCAGATTATCCGCCCACACCTCCCGGATCCTCAGCGTGCCTCCCTTCGGAACGGACATCGTGGAGGCAAACCAGAACCCCTGAAAGAAACACCTATGAAACCCGACGAGCGTGATTCGCGGCGGCCATGGTTTGATAACACAGCAAGGCAGGGAACAAGACACTCGAAGAGAGCGACGGGTGATGTTGGGCGGGAGCGGGCAGGGCAAGGAGGAAGCAGATGGGTCGAGAGAGAGACTCGACACGGACAGGTGGAAAACTGACGGCAGTGCAACTCGACAGGGCGAGCAGGCAGGTAAGTGGAGAAGCGAAACTGACGGCCGACAGCTTTGCAGAAACTGACTGGGCGAAGAGGAAACTGGGAAATGGATCTGTAACCAATCAATGAAGGTCTCTGTGAAAACTTACCGGCCGCCCTAATATCAAGACCCTCGTGTCGATAGTTCCACGTCCTAACGCTGTCAGACGGTCATGAGATGACTCGGCGGCTGTACTCCTTAGTAGCAAAGCTACTCCCATTTCGAAATGTTTCAGTTGCAGGGCATTCTTTGACATGATTCATATTGGATGTTCAATATGTGAGTCATCTCTAGTTCAATACATGAGGCGAAAAAACTAGATAACCAGCCTACCCGGAAACCTTTGGAGTTTCTCTAAGGCGCCATGATTGCATCTACTGTGTAATTGAAGCTCTCTGCCAAATCAGAGCGGAAGAGAAGGGAACGAAGATGGTCCATAATGCTCAGGTCTGGGTCAAGTTTGCGCTGCCAGCTCTGCTCAATCACAAAAGGATGATCACAATGAGAGGTAGCACCAGTCAGTAGATGGAAGAGGATGCTATCAGTATTCTCTTACCAGTATGTCAAAAATTGAGATCAGAACGGCGTATTCCAAAATGGGCCTGCATACGTACCTCGAGCACGAGGGTGGTGATGATCACAGTACACACATTTCCATCAATGTTCACTCGATGCCTTCGCACCTGGAGGGGAGGCAATTAAAAAAAAAAAACCAACCAGGAATGGCAAACGACCACGCATAGAACACAAACAGGCATGGCAAACATAAAAGTGGTGAGGGAGAGACAGAGGCACGGCCAACAGAAGTTTAACACAATAGAAGCATTCTCAAGTTTTGGGGGATGACATGTTGTGAATCAAACAACGGGCGAGTTACCAGTAACATGAATGACTCACCTTGCAAGTATTCAGCAACCAACATGCAATTACCAGCGCACATGAACAAGGGCAACTACCAGCACTAAGAAATGAGGGCAAGATTCAAGTTACCCACATGTTCCAGCAGGTCTTGCATGCAGTCACCCGTTGGGATGCGCAGGCCAGTGGCATCCCACTCCTTGAACGAGTTGTCCACATCCTGATGGTTATGACGGGGCATGAGGTGAGGTGTAGGGAGTGGGTTGGGGCAGTGGTGAGTTAGTTTTTGTGAGTTGCGCTTCAGAGGTGGTGAAAAGGCAGTGGCATCCCACTCCTTGAACGAGTTGTCCCCATCCTGGTGAGAGGCGAGGTGGTGGGAGTGGTAGGGGAGGCAATAAGGAGAGGGTTGAGACATCGATGAGCGGGGCTCCAGAGACTTAGATAAAGCCAGTGGCATCCCACTCCTTGAACGAGTTGCCCACATCCTGGTGAGAGGCGAGGTGGTGGGGTTGGCCGAGGTGTGGGGATCGGACGAGGTGTGGGGATCGGGCGAGGTGTGGGGATCGGACGGGGTGTGGGGATCGGGCGAGGTGTGGGGACCGGGCGAGGTGTGGGGATCGGACGAGGTGTGGGGATCGGGCGAGGTGTGGGGATCGGGCGAGGTGTGGGGATCGGGCGAGGTGTGGGGATCGGGCAAGGTGTGGGGATCGGGCGAGGTGTGGGGATCGGACGAGGTGTGGGGATCGGGCAAGGTGTGGGGATCGGGCGAGGTGTGGGGATCGGACGAGGTGTGGGGATCGGACGAGGTGTGGGGAGGGGATAAAGAGTGGACCGGGGCAGTGGAGAGATGGTTTTGGTGAGCTGGGCTTCAGAGGCGGTGAGAAGGCCAGAGGCGTCCCACCGCTTGAACCAGTTGTCCACGTCCTGATGTGTCCACATCCCGATGAGGGGGAAGGTGCGGTGCAGAGCGAGGCATGGAGAGTGGGCAGGGCAGGGCAACGGGAGTGGCTTTTGAGTCGACTCAAAATTCACCTAGGAACAGGACCAGCAGGAGGAGGTGGGGGGGGGGGGGGGGGGGGGGGGTTGAGTCGACTCAAAAGGTGCGGTGCGGTGCGAGGCATGGAGAGTGGGCAGGGGAAGGCAACGGGAGTGGGGTAACACAGGGTGACTCGCGAAACTGGTGCAAGAGGCTTCAATTCAGCCCATCTCATCCCACTCCATAACCAGTTGTCCACGTCCTGATGCGTGCCATGGGGAGCTGAAGGCGTCAGGGAGTCGGGGAGTGGAAGGCATGGGTAACAAGCTCACTGATTTGGTCTGTTTTTTTCTTCTTCTTTTCTTCTTCTTCATCAATTTGGGCGTACCTGGATGAATGTGTCCGGGTCAGAACAGCTCTGAATTAGGCAAATGCCCTTCACCACCGTTCACAAACCCTCTGTACCTGGATGAACGTGTCCGGGTCAGAACAGCTCTGCTAATCCGCGATTATCAGCGTGCATGGTGCCACCTGCCAGCCATCTCTCACAGCAATGGCCTTGAAGAACTCCAGCATATTCGCTCTATACCTCGGTTCCAACTCCGCAGTCATGCCCACATCCAGCAGCACAATATGAGGGTGGGAGCTCAGCGACAGCCCCACCCCCTCAGCACCTACCAGCCCCACTCCCTCAGACTATCCCCTACCTGAATGGGGCAAATGCCCTTCACCACCGTTCACAACCCCTCTGTACCTGGATGAAAGCATCAGGATCGGCGCAGCTCTGCTTATCCGCAAATTTCAACGTGCACGCCGCAGCCTGCCGGCCATCTCTAACCGCAATGGCCTTGAAGAACTCCAGCATATTCGCTCTAAACCTCGGTTCCAACTCCGCAGTCATGCCCACATCCAGCAGCACAATATGCGGGTGGGAGCTCAACGACAGCCCCACGCCCTCCTCTGGCGCCGACGGCAAGTGCCCGCGCTGCATGCGCACGAGAATGTTCCCCGGGTGCAGATCTGCGTGTATGAAATTGTCTACCAGGAGCATTTTGAGGAGTGTGTGTGAGCCGAGTTCGGCTAGCTCCATGTTGAGCTTGTTGCCCGCTCGCTTCTCCCACCACTGCTTAAACGGCCGGCCCCGTACCAACCACCGCCGCTTCTTCTTTGCCTTCGGATCATCAACAACGTTCTCTGCCCCTCCCCCTTCCCTTTCTCCTGTCACGCCCTCCCCGCCCTCCGGCCTGCCTTCCTTTGCGCTGGCTGCTGCTATTCTCTTGTCATCAACCCCACTCTCCGAATTGCTCCCTCCTACTCTTCCCCCCGCCACTCCTGCAGCAGCAGCGGCGGCAGCATCAGCTGCAGCCTTCTCAGCTTCGGCGGCGAGCCACGCTCCCTTGCCCTCCGGCCCAACCACGCCGCCAGGTTCGGTCCGATCCACGTACCGAGACACGCTCTGCCCGGATTCGAACGTTTCCACGAGCACCTCGGGATGCACGAGCGGGTAAAGCGGCTTGGGGAAGCTGATGCTGCGCCATCGGCGGAAGTTGTAGTTGAATCGACTCAGCTGAGCCGCCTCACGGGCCAGATCCACCTGAGGGAGAAGAGAGCACGGAACAAGGGATTGGCAGGACTAAAAGCTTTGAGATTCTGGGTGAATTTTGAGTGGTTTCAAAAGTCTCCACGCCTGCTTGGGGAAGCTGATGCTGCGACATCGGCGGAAATTGTAGTGAATCGACTCAGCTGGGCCGCCTCACGGGCCAGATTTACCTGACGGAGAGGAGAGAGAGGAACAAGGGATAGGCAGGAAATGGCATATAAACTTCCAGGTAGATTCTGAGTCAATTTCGAAGTCTCCATGTTTCCTTGGGGAAGCTAATGCTGCGCCAGCGTCAAAAATAGTAGTTGAATCGACTCAGCTGGGCAGCCTCTCGAGCCAAGTCAACCTGCACAAAGGGGAATGGGGAACCAGGGAAGGGCACTTACGAAGGTAGCTTGCAGAGCGTGCTTCTAGGGACTCCCCTAGACCAATGAGAAGCTGCCCCAGACCAATGTCCCCCCAACACCACACCCCAAAACCCTCCGCTAAACCAAAACCCCGTATCTCCCATTCCCCACGCCCGTACCATCGCCATTATCAAGACGGCGAACTGCTGCACGTTGTGCTCGAGGCGCAGCCACAGCAAGCCCGGCACGAGGCTGGTAGTGCATCAGTCCCCCCAACCATACCCCGAACCCCAAACCCTCCTGCCCTCACCTGCGCCATCATGAAGACCGCGAACTGCTGCACGCTGTCCTCGAGGCGCAGCCACTGCAGGCCCGGCACGAGGCTCGTGGCGCGCGCGACCCAGTTCATGATGACGAAGTCGCGGTGGATCACCTCGCGCACGCCCGGGTGCCGCACCTTCACCGCCACCATGCGCGGCGGCTCCACCATCTTCGGCTCCGCGCGCGGATAGCGGCTCGTCAGCACCGCGCGATGCACCTGCGCACGCAAGAAGGGTGTTGAGGGGAGAGAGGGGTGAGGGGGATGGGGAGGGTGGGTAAGGCGGGGTGGTGAGGAAGGGGGTGGGGGTGGGGAGGGGGGGTTGCTTAGGTTAGGTGAATGGGGAACGGCAAAAGGGGAAAAGATACCAGCTTGCAAAAAGAAACAAAAGGGGGAAAACAAAAACACAAGGCGTACCTGCGCAATGCTCCCCGATGCCACGGGTTCCTCGTCAAACTCGTCGAACATCTCCTCCAATCGCCGTCCGAACGCGCGCTCCACGATGCGCTGCGTCGTCTTGAACGGATGCGCCGGCGCCTTCGTGTGCAGCTTCGACAGCTGCGCGCACATGTCTTTCGGAAATAAGTCGGGCCGCGTCGCCGCCCACTGACCCCACTTTATGAACGCTGCCCCCGCGCACTCTAGCGTCTTATGAACCAGCTCTAGCCACTGCTGCCGGAACCGCCCTCCCGCCATGTCCGCAAACGGGCCGGTCAAGATCGCGGGCAGGAAAAGAAACATCAGGTACACGGCTCTAAGAGCCAGTCGAATCGCTTCTTGCGTTTCAAGAAGGAAGCCTATAACGGGGTTGGTGTGGTGCTGCGCCTGCACTTGCGACTTGAGCTGCGCTGCGCCGAACATCTGCTCCGCGTGCGCTAACCCGTCTCTACCCGAACCCGTGGTCCGCCGAAGCGCTGCTTCCCCGAGAATAATCGCCACTAGCCGCGGCGCGATCTGCGACTTGGACGCCGCGAGGCTCGCGGCGCCGAAGGTTCGCGCGAGAGGCGGAAAAAAGAAGACAGGAGGACGACACCGATCCGCCGCGCCTTGCAACAAGTGGCTCCATTTCTCCCTGGCTTCTCGAGCGGCTCCTTTTGCCACTTCTCGAGCCGCGAGGTTGCCGGATCGCAGGAGCCTGACAGCTGCTGACTGCTCAAACAGACGGCTGGATTCCCGCGAGATCTGACGGGAAAGCGTTAACCTTGCCGCGATAACGGTGGCACTGGTACTGCTGCCGATCGAGGAAGAGGGTTGAGATGCGGATCGAGAAACAACCCGAGAGTACAAGGATCGGAGTAACCGGATCTGCCCGGAGGAGGCAACGGACGGTTGCGATGCTCCTTGAAGATGGTGTAAGCACTGGGAAGGCAGGGGATGCGATCGAGGGGGTAGTATCGACGGCTGCGATGCTCTGATCACGTGTTTACCGGCTGCTTGTGACGAGATCGAGTGGCTTGCTGCGTCTTTAGGAGTTATCAGTCTCGATAGATGTGAAACGTAGGTCCGCATGGGAGGACCTAGCGACTCTTGGGCATGACGAGTTCGAGAAAGAACGATAGATCTCATTATGGTAGGTAGATTATGGATAATAAGCTGTGTTGTGGGATGTCGCTACATTCTCTAGCAGCCACCTTGGAATCAGCAACTTAGGAATCCGCAGTTGTGTGATAACGGTCGAAAGAGCAGGGCGGACTAGAATATGATAGGCGAGGAGAGGCACTTCAAGAAAAGGCTCTACGAGCTCGTTTGGTTCGCACTACCCAAAAGGTCGAAGGCAGGGTTGTATTCTGAGTCGTAAACACAGGATTGGTCGCTACACAGTATGTATAAAGTAAATTTCGACATTACACGAATTGTGCCGACAGCCCCAAGAACGGTAGTCGAGTTTTGAAACCTGCCCTAACGTTTGCGTGTGAATGGTGCTGACCAGGTCCCAGCATTCTCGGAGCCAATTCTTGGAGGCACAACGTGGTTGGAGAATGGTGTGGCAAAAATCAGCCCCCGTCAAGATTTGGCTCGTTTTCCACCGTCAGAAGTTCCCAAGATGATGGCAGCAACTCTTCTTCACTAACGGCGACGTCAGGTTGTACAACTTTTTCTACGCCCACTGTGGGTAACTTCGTGCTAACACGGTTCAGAGCGGTAAACGTCGGGAACCGCTTTTCAACGTGTTAGACCGTCCTGAACAACGATACAAGAACTGTAAACGCGTGAGATATGTATAACCTGACGTAGCCCTAAGAAACCACAGTGGTGCTTGATCTGCCTGCTTGGTATATTTGTCGGTCAGGATTCGTGTGCGACGACGATCCAACGGCTATAGAATATGGAAGAAACAAATCGCTGAAGTGGGGATGGAACTGAATGTTGATATTGTGTGTAGATAAGTCTACAACATGTACCAGGACCCATCGCAGGACGCATCGATTTCTAACGCGTATGCTGTCAAACCCCCAACAAAGTTTCCCTACCCTACCTCCTTTCCAATGACCTGCCAATCTCCCAAACCAACCTCTAAGGGCGGATCCAGCTCGTACGTTTTCCGTACATTACAGTTCATCCATTCTGGTAATCTGTATTGCGTCACGGTTCAAAACGGTGCAATTTTTGAACCGCTGTGCACCGTTTGGTATCTTTTTAAACCACTACGAATGAACTGTATAGTACCTGCGAGCGTACGCGCCGGACCCGCCCTAAAATTCCCAACATCTGATGGTAAATCCAACCTTACCACTCTAAATCTTGAATAGACCTTTCTAGACTGTACCAAGCCTAATTGAGCCGCATTCAAACGTACTTCTGGGACCACGCCCTAAACCAGCTGTAACAAAAACTGTACTTCGACGCGGTTAGCAGCTGTCCACAGCGTGTACACACACACGAGGCGTTCCACGAGATTGCACCACTGGCTTGCTGGCGCCGCGCTGGGTTGCAAGCAGCTGTGAAACGATTTTCGGCCAAGGCAATCAGCCAGAGCTAGCTCGAGGAGTTGTACATGTGGTGGTTACCAGCTATTGCGTGGTTCATTCACAGCTATTCCTACCAGTTCCAGCTTGCATTTTGGTGTTTTGGTTAGCAGTGTTAGATTCTCATTTATGGAGAATTGCGTGTGGGTTCTCCTCCTCCACCTTTGACGGAACCTGTTTGAGACTGGGCTGGTTTTGGATCTTCCCTGACAGCCAGCGAGTGCGCGTGTCATTTTCTCGTTGGCGAAATTTGACGGCACATCGCTTCGTTTCTGAGGTGGGTTGTAACTCAAATCTCCATGGCCAGCAGACCGCCGCAATGTGCGTCACGGAATGGTCCAGGCGATCTCTACTACAAGTGGCTTTGTTATACTGTACAGCTGCGCCTGACTCGGCAGAATCGCTGGGGTGGCTGACATTCGGTGGGGTTCCGCTTCGGGAGAGATTTGCTCCAAACCCTTGTTTGAGGATTCGTTGTTGCACACGTGGCTACCATTTGCTCGAGTGGTTCTCAAATTCAGTGATAATTGCTCGAGTGGCCTCGCCAGTGGATTCTCAACGTCTTTTTTTAAGAATGAACATTACCCTTCAGGGGTATCTATCCTCGAAACTTCTGTACTGGTTATTGCGCGATCTTTAATATCCGAAATTTATGTTCATGACCCTATATGACCGCGCCTGATTGGACGCTCATATAATCGACCAATCCTGCGCGGCCAGTAATGGTCGCGCGCATCATATTTTAATGCCCGATCATATATTTCCGCAGTTATAAACTGCAATGCCCTCAATGACCGCGCATGATTGGTCAATTATATGCACGGTGCCTTTTTTTGAATTGCGCGTCCAATCAGGCGCGGTCATATAGGGTCACGAACATAGATTTTGGATACTGAAGATCGCGCAGTAACCAGTACAGAAGTTTCGGGGATAGAAACCCGTGTAGGGTAATGTGACGGGTTAAAAAAAGCCAGTGGGAATCCACTGGCAAGGCCACTCGAGAAATTATCTCTGAATCTGAGAGCCACGCGAGCAAACGGTAGCCACGTGGGCAACGCTGAATCTCCAAACAAGGGTTTAGAGCGATTCTCTCCCGCTTCGGCCTCCACCTGCCAGGACCATTCATGGTGCTGCTCCAGCACATCCCAGAGCGATAAAAAATGGACGCTCAGGATTGTCTCGAGACTGACGGTCAGTTGTCAACCATTCGTTTATCGTTGAAGAGAGACAGCTTATTGAATGCGCAACCCGACAGTTGCATCAGACGTGAAACTGTGCAAGTGCACAGCGCCCTTCCAGAGTAAGAACAGTTCGGACTTTCCGTTTCTAGGTCTGACGGAACGCGTCCCACTTTGACGGTATCCACCTCATTTACCATCTGGAAGGGAATTCCACAGCCAATGCCAGCCTTCCGGCCAGCTCAGGTCAAGCAGCCTTGCAGCTCTCAAATGAAATCTTATGCAGCGTCAGCCTGTTTCTTTCCTTCTTCAGATTGTTATCCAAGTCGAAAAAAATCTTCAACCTGTCTCTTGTCCGAATGATTCTACCAAGACGCTTTCCATTGACCATAATTCCGTGTACCAATCTGGCACCTCCGTGCCCCAGCTGGAATAGCATACTGGCAGCAAGGATCTATAAACGAGGTGATTGGATTCCGTGTGGGCCCAACGCGAGGCATTCGCTGCATGCTTTGACGAGACAGTAGGGCTTGACCTGGCACCTTGCTTGTGGCCTGGCGCCACGGGGCAGAAGCAGAGAGTGGAGGGACAGAAAACGCGGCGGATGCTGATTGCGTAGCTGATAATTCAGCTAAAAACATGGAAACGAGCATTCTGGGAGTAAGAATTTCGGATGCTGTTAGTTGCACTGGGGGCCGTTAGTACTGGACAAGCCTCGGCCAGCCAATGCCCACATCATCCCCATCTCTCGGGACCAGAAAACGCTTCAGTTGCGCTGCTCGATACGCTACTAATCGTCTTCACTACCAGTGATGCTACTACTACTAGCATTCAGCTCTTCTTTCTAGCATGAGTGACCGCTGAACGGTTTCTTTCGAATACGTTGTTACTGGTACCACTGAGTCCTGGAAAGGCCGCCATCCGTTGTTACTGGTACCACTGGCCTAGTAATAGCCATGGTGCACGAGAACGCGGTCCGACTTGCTCCTCTCATACCTGGGTTCAACGCTGACGTCATGATCCGTGAATGCCGTGCTCTTGCTGCTCCTGTTTCCCTCTCAAGACTCGCTCGGAGGAGTGTTTCGGAGCCGGCATGTGTTTCTGAGGAAGGGGAAGCTTCTGGGAATAGCAGCGGCAGCGCCGGTTGCAGCATGGGTCAGAGGAAGTGCATGAGCGAAGGTGCAAGCCAGAGTATGGAGTTCGAATGCGAGGCGATTCCAGGCAGCAGCAGCCGCAACTGGATGAATGTGCAGGCTTGTGCCGAGCCTTGTGCCAAGCCTTGCGCCGAGCCTTGTGCCCAGCCTTGCGCCGAGCTTCTTGCTGAGATGTCCTTAAAACGGCCCGGGGGCGTATCGCTGCATCTTGACTTGAGTCTCACTTCTTCCGCGCCTCACCCCTCATCAGCACCGCACCCAACCGAGCCCATGGATTTTCTGAATCATTTCTCCAAAGCTCAACCAAATTCCAGTGAAGACAGACCTCATTCCTCCCCACCACCAGCTTCTCTCCCTTTTCTTTCACTCTCAATGCCATCCACACCCGCCGCCTACACTCCCCACTCACTACCCAGCTCTAGCTCACCCCCGCCAGCCCCGTTCACTCCAGAATCTTCCGAGCCTCACCTCTCTCTTGCCCTCTCCCTCACGACCTTTCCTGCTGCCGCCGACCCCTCTGCTCGCACCCAGCAACCTGCCTCCAAACTGACTCCAACTCCCATTAAAACGGCTCCCAAGAAAACGCCTGCCATCAGACCGTCGTCTAAGAGAACACCTGCTAAAAGAACGCCTTCTGTTAAAGCTACTCCTGCTAATGTCTCTGCCTCGCTTGGACTAGCCTCCCCTGATGTTGTACCTGGTGCTTCTGTGCGGCCTCCTGCTGCTCAGTGTTCTTCCTCTGTTACTGTCGCTGCAGCAGCATCTCTGCCGGATGATCTGAAGGCTCGTATGAGCGTTGCACTTCAAGCAGCACCGCCCATCTTGTTTCAGGCTCCTCTCGCTGCTCCTGGTGTATCCCCCGCCCCTGCTTTCCAAAATCTTCTCCTGGCATTGCCAGCTCGTAGCTCAGTAACTCCCACAACAAGAGTGCGAGCAGCAGTAACAGCAGCAGCAGCAACAGCGACAGCTGCAGCAGCGGCGGCATCATCATCACTATCGTCGTCAGCAGCAGCAGGAGCAGCAGCAGCCGCCGCTGCAGCCGAGGCAGCAGCAGCAGCATCATCACTATCGCCATCCTCGTCCTCATCAGCAGCAGTGGCGTCAGCCCGAGCAGCGCTAGCAGCAGCAGCAGCAGTGCAGGAATCCACGAGAGTCCTCCCAATCTCCACCCCTCGTCCCTCCCTCCCTCCCTGCAAGCTCCCTCTCGCCTT